CCCGGCCGGCTGCGCCCCTGCGCCTCTCAAGGCAGGAGGCCCGTCGCGGCCCGTCGTTCCCTCCGGCGTGGCCTGCGCTGTACCCTCCCCCAACCTCAGTGCCACCATTTCGAAGTCTCGCTACAGTGTGCAGGCCGCCTGCCAGTCCCGGGCGCAAGCGTCCTCCTGCCTCTGCCTCCTCAGCAGCCGGAGCTGCAGACGTGCGCGGGGAGGTCTTTCAGGGCAGCTTCCTCTGAAGCAGTATCTACTAAATTATGTTGGACACGCTAAGTACGCTCTTCTAGTATATGTTAAAGTCACATTTTAGTAAACATTCCCGGCTCGCCTAAGTCACCCCCTGCCCCGCCCTGTGCAGGAAAGCGCGTGCACCCCAGGGGACGCCAGCCTGTGTCTTGTTTGCTCCCGGAGTCCGGCAAGGCCCAGCTTGTGCTTGACGAATAGTCACCAAATGTCTCAAACCATGAACCGATTTCAGATCGGAGGGCGGGAAGCTGGCAAGCGGGGAGCCCCAGGGGGCCTGCGGAGCCCAGGCCCAGGCTCGGAGGCCGTCCTGAGAGCCGCAGCTCCGCTGTCGTCCGCATGGACCGGGACCTGATGCGCGCAGCCTGGGCAGAGGATGAGGGGACCACCTTGCCTCTGCATCCGGACGCTCCTTGCCTCTGGGCCCTTCCTGGATGAGGCCGGGGTTGGGCGCAACGGACAGAGTCTAACGATCCCACGTGCCTCCGCCCTTGGCCCCCTCTCAGCTTGTGCTGCTCTCCCCACCCCCGCACACCTGTCCCTGCCCCCAGGGCAGCCCCTGTGCACCTCTCCACCCAGCAGCGCCACCTTCCTCCCAGGGAAACGGACGGAGTCTTGCATCTCCCTATTTCATCTGGCGGTGTTACTAGGACCCCTGGAGCCTCCCAGCTGAAAAGCGGACTCAGAGAGGTGAAGCCCGCACCCAGCGGGCTTTGGACCCAGCCCCTCTAATGCCCTTAGGTTCCAACCTAAGTATCCGGGATGTTGGCGCCCACCTCCTCCTTCCTGCTTCACCGCCTTAGGTGTACACGGTTCCACCCCCGATGCCGGCCTGCACCTCCTCCCTGCGCATTCTCCTGGGACTCCGGCACCCCTGGGGACCCGGGCTTGGGTGCGAGTCCTGTGCATGCAGCCCTGGGAGGCCAGGAGAGGATGCACGGACACTCCTTTATTATGCACCTTATGGCTGTAAAAGAATCGCAACACACAATGTACAAATCATATTAAAACGTGCAGTCCGCCGCCGCGAAGCCCATCTAGCTGAGGGACCACCGACTCTCCAACGTGTTCGCTGGTTTGCTGCACTCCTACCCGCAGCCGACCTATGGTTGCACTGAGTGACTGTGACATGAAAGCTCCTTAAGGAGTTAGATGAGAGTGACACAGAGACCTAAATTGAGATTACACTTGTTAGCAGTAGCTGACTTCTTTGCTGAAGCAGACAGCCATTGTCAAACACCATAAGACAGGTCCCTCCATGTTCAGTGCTGTTGACGATGTTAACCGGCATAAACAACACACTTCGAGAAAGTATATTTGGCATTATCAACATTTTCTTCGTTACATAAATCCAGACTATCAGCAAAACAAGTTAAGACTGGATGTGTAGCTTATCCCAACTTCCCTAGTGTAAATCCAGTCGCCGTGTCAGATTCCAAGCCAAGGTGGGCAGCCCCTGGTGTGGAGCTGGGGACAGCGGGCGCGTGGCGCCTCCGAGCACAGATCCTGGTGGGCTGTGGTGACCAGAAAACGAGTCTTCAGAGTTCGTGCCTTTGTAAAATTTAGGTTGGAACTTACATGAGGTACAATCCATACTCAGCTACACAAGCCCATGATGTTGACCCCTGCAGCCCTAGAACCCCACTGTAAGCAAGTTCCAGAACCCCCCTCCCCGCCATGCAGACCCCTGTGCGCTCCTAGTGATATCAGGACGTCCCTTACTTTTTTTTTTAATGGTGCCAGGAATCAAACTCCTCTCTCACCCCTACGGTTTTGTTCGTTTGTTTTTTGTGTTTTTGAGACAGGGTCTCTCTGTGCAGTTCAGGCTGAGCCCTACGTTTTGTAAAAACTTCTTCCCTACGGTTTTGAAACTGTATGCCATTCTGAGTAGCATGAACTCTCACGCCATCCACCTCCACCCTGCTGATGATAGGAGGCATCCCACGCCCAGTGTGTGGGTGCTGAGGGCACCACCTGCCTGTCCTGTGGAGCCACCTTGGCTATCAGGTCACCGTTAGGGTATCATGGGGCCTATCTGCAAGAAACATTTTACTTAATAATGACCCAAGATGTAGGGTAGTGACACTAGCAATTCTGACATGCCACAGAGCAGCTGCGAAGTCCTCCCCTTAAGTGAAAAGGCACAAAGATCTCCACTTGATAAAGGAAGAGGAAAAAATCACAGGATGATGTCTGCAAAGCTCTGCAATAAGAATAAATCTGAAGAGAAACTGTAAATAAAGATATATGTGCTAAATTTGCTGTTATGCCTCAGAATAGCAAGTTATAGTGCAGGAAAAGTACTTTGTTAATAGGAAAGGCAGTCTGGGCATGTTGGCACACACCTGTGATTCCAGCGACTTGGGAGGCTGAGGCAGGAGAGTCAACAAGTTCATGGCCCAGCCTGGCCAACTGTATCAGTCAGGGTTTTACCAGAGAAACAGATATAAAACAGGATGTACAAATTATAAGAAATTACAAGATTGGCTTATGACGGTCAGCCAGAGAGTTGTATGGGGAAGTGTGCAGAGGGTGTCTGCACACTGCAGACCGAATGAATCAGTCCAGGGTCTGGAGTTCACTGCAGAGTTCCGTGCAAGTCCGTACAAGGAGGCCGATGAGTCTGCAATGGAAGGCTGAAGGATCCAAGGTGGAAGCCGAAGAGTCTGCACTAGAAGCCAGGAGACTAAGTCCAAGCTGAAGGTGAAGACTGGAACTCCTCCAAAAGGCATGGAAGTTCCTCGGTCCTTCTTCATTTCCCTTTTATGTTGTCTAGGTGATGATCCACCCTAGGGTGGCTCCTCTACACCCTAGGGTGTAGAATTGCTGGGCCAATTGCTGAGCCAGGTTTAGTTATGCTTCTAAACTTCTCAAGTTGACATAATCAACCACTACACCAACTCACAGCAAACTTCCTGCCTCAGCCTCTCAAGTGCTGGGTTTAGAGGCGTGTGTCACTATGCTCGGCTTCCACAGGATTTTCTACATTGAGAATGCTGTCATGTCAGAATTACGCTTTATTTCCTTTTCTTCACTCTGTATGCTTTTTATTTCATTTTCTTGCCTAAGGTACTGCCCAGATTTCCAGTACAATGTTGAAGAGGTGTGATGAGAGTGGACGTTCCTGCCTTGTTCTCAATCTCAGGGAAGGACTCAGTCTTCCACCGTTAGGTCTGGTGTCAGGTGCAGGGTTTTATGTAGTTTCCCTTCACCAGATTAAGGAAGCCCCTTCTATTCTAAGTCTGCGGAGAGCTTTTGCTGTGAGTGGACCCTGGATTCTGGCGCCAAGTTCTTCTGCATCTGCTGAGGTGACGGTGTGGCCTTTTCTTCCCAGTCTGTGCAGATGGTGACTTGAGTGAAACCAGTCTCCCTTCCCCGCACGAACCCCCCTTGGTTATGTTGCGCTATCGTTCTATACACTGCTGCGTTTGAGTTCTAATATTCCACTGGAGATTTCTGCACTGAGGATATAGGTACCTTTCCCGTGGCCCCCGAGACCCCCCACCCCCCGGCCTGCCTCGGTGCTGACCTTGTGTCATGACTTTGGAAGTGTTTTGTTTTGTTTTGGAGGAGATCGTGTAGAACCTGTGTAATTTGGGAGAATTTGCCTGTGAAAACATCTGGGTCTGGGGTTTTCTTTCTGGGAAGATTTTAAACTATGAATCCAGCTTCTTTGCTAGAGATAGGGCCCCAGAAATCATCTGTTGTTCTTGAGTGAGTTTTAGTAGTTTGTGTCTGTGGAGGCAGAACAGTGGCTCCTCAAAGATGGCTGCCTCAGCTCCTGGGAGCAGTGGGTGTGTCACACTCCCTGGCGGGGGGATGAAGCTTGCAGATGAATGGGCATTGCCAACAGACTGGTGTTAAGATGGGGAAAGGACCCCGAATTACCCAGGTATGCCCAGTGGAATCACAAAGGCCCTTGAAAGTGGCAGACAAGGGCTGGGCATCAGCTCGGTGGGGAGAGCCTGCCTAGCATGCTCAAGGTCCTGGGTTCAGTTCACAGCACAGTCAAAAAATGGAAAATAGAGCATCAGAGTTCAGAGCGCTGTGATATGAAAGGAACGGGAGTTGCTTTTTCTGGCTTAGAAGGTGAAAATGTCTCTCAGGCAAAGAATTTGCTCGGAACGCTGGGAAAGGCAGGAAACAGACTCTGCCCTGAGCCTACAAAGAACCACAGCTCTGATGCCAAGAACTGTGTCAGACTTTGGAGCTGTAAGAAAATAAATTTGGGTATTGTATGGCACTGAGTTATGGTGATTTGTTATAGCAGCAATAGAAAACTGATACCACTTTTTCACCACCTCCACTATCACACTGATTTTACAACTTCCCTGGAGCTGCTTGTGGTGCATTCATGGCCCTTCAACCGAGTCTGCAGTGCTGCCCCCTTCGCTTTTGACGGTGATGTGCATCTCCCCTCGTGCCCAAAGAGCCATCTTTTAATTTCATTGATTTTCTCCAGTTTATCCACCTGTAACTTTGTTAGTTTCTACTCTTCATTATTTCCTTTTCTTCTGCTTTCATTGGGTTTGTTTTTCTCTTACTACCTTTTATTAAATTACCTTTGCTTTTTAACCTGTGACTTAATCATAAGCTTATATAATTTAATTTTTAACAGTGACTGTATTCAGCATCCAGCTTGCGATCGCATCCTGGCCTCTTGGTTAAGGTCGGGTAACACCCACCTACCGGCTCCCACCCACTCACCCCAGCCCCTCCTGAGCATGAGCTGTGGCCCAGTGTCCTATGCACACTTCCATATGGACACATCTACGCAATGCCACTGCCAAGTCCCCATCTCTCTCCACCTTCTACCTCCCCGCTTTGTAACCTGCCCCTCCACACTGCCCTTTGCTCAAGCCCAAAGCGGGACCTCATCTTGCCTGCCTTTCCTGGCTGGCCAGGCAGTCAGGGACCCCCAGCTCTCCCGTGCACAGCTGGTGGCACCGGGCCCTCCTCGCCACCTGCTCTACCACCAGCCTCTTCTCACCCATCGGTGGCCTTGCACCTGGATTCCACTCCCTGCTCCCAGCTGCCCTGGCCCCTTCTCTGCACACACAGGGATCCTGTCACAGCGGGCCTCTGCCCCAACACCCTCCCTGCGAACCCACTCTCCCTCGAGCTGACCGGAAGCTGCTAGGCCTTCCTGCCCGAGTCCTCTGGCCCAGGTCCACAAAGCACGCTCTCAGGCTCCACTCCCGCTTCCAGTGTACACTGCATCTCAGAGGCCTCTGACACCCTCTGTCCCCGTACAGTGCACCGTTGTCCTGAAGTCCTCCGGCTCTCAGCTGGTATCATACCGTCTGCTCACCTGGCACTGTGCTGCTAGGAACCGGCCAGGCGGGCTGGGAAGAAGGAGCCCCCTTGCTCCCCACTCTCGTCACGGTGAGGGGACAGTGCCTGGCAAGACTCACAGGGCACTGGAGGAAGGGTCCCCACTCAACCATGTGGCTCTGCCTGGCCCACAGCCCACCCCTTCCTCCTGCATCACACACTCCCCCTCGGGCCCGCCTGAGTCTTCCCAGGGCTGAACCCTCCCCACCTCCCCGACAGGATCTCCACGCCTCCTTCAGGTCTTGGTTCAGGAAGCCTCTCCCTGACCTCAACCAGGTCAGGCCTGCTTGGTGCCTTCCCAGGACTCATGATGCGCCTTCTCCCCCCACACCAGGCTCTAAGGGCCTGTGACTTCAGACCACGAGGCCTGATAAATACCAATGTGCAATCCATAACGCAGAGGGAAGAATGAATAAACGAATTTTTTTTTTTAAAAAGCCCGAGGGATAGGCTGGGGACCTTCACCCACTCCCCACCCCTGTCATCTTCCCGCTGAGGCCCGGCTTAGCCCAGCGCAGGAGCAGGGCTCCGGCCAGCAGGGCGGGTGCCAGCCACACCCAAGAGCCAAGAGCCTGGTGGCCGCCACGGGACAGGGGTGAGAGGAAGCAGAAAGACATCTCCAGGCCCAGGCAGAAAGAAGCTGTATCCCCCACATCCTGGTGGCTGCAGCAGGAACACCCCCCAGCTAGCAATGACCCCGGCCACCATCCCTAGGACATGCCCAAAGGAAGGCAGAGAAGAGGGCCCCTCAGACCTGCTGCCAACGATCAACACCCAACTGGGCGGTGACCTGAACCACCCCACCCGTGGGCGCGCACACAGAGCGGAGCTCCAGGTCACCTGCGGCCTTGAAGGGCTCAGGACAGATGCCCACCGGGCCAACAGGTTTCTTCGTCCTCCCCAGTGCCCTCGAGGAAAGGCCGAAGTTCTTCTCCCACCCTCTCCCCGCAGCCCCAGGGGCTCTTTCCCCTACCCCAGGGGTCTCCCAGGAGCTCACAGCCTCAAACCTCCCCGGCTGTGCGCTGTTCTGCGCTTACCTGACACCAGGGAGGGCACCGGGAACCTCGGTCAGGTCTCTGCTGGCCGCGTCCTTTGCCTAGCCCTCGCCATACCCTAGATCAGTGCCTGTTACAGAGGCCATGAGGGCCCCAGCCTCGCCCCACTATCACCCCAAGACCCGCACATGGCTCCCCACAGCTCTGCCCATCTTTGCTAACCCTGTTCCACAGCTCCGCGCTCATCTCTGCAAGGACAGCCTCACCCCGAAGTCCGCCTTCCCCTTCCCCAGATGCACCGGAGCTGCGGCCAGCCCCAGCACGGCCTTTCTGAGCGCTGCTCTGCGCGGACACAGCCGCTCTGCCAAGGCTCCTGCCTCTCCCACTGCCTGACAAAGGGGCCGTCGTCCCCTGGCCTCACACAAGCCTGCTGTCCCAGCTGGCACTCAAGCTGTGTGACCCAGGCCGGTCACCGAGCCTCCCTCCCTCAGGCACCACTCCCTGCTCTGCACACCGCTCCCAAGGCTGTGCGAGCGCAGGCGGACGGTCTGGTCCCCGTGCCCGAGCCCGAGGTGTCGGATCCTGGGGAAAGGGCTCCTCACAGGGCCTGGGCCCCGCTGCCCGCAGGCCCTCCTCGCCTGCCATGTGCTTCCTGGGTGTTGAGCTGCGAGGTGAGCAGAAGAGGGTTGGGAAGAGCCAGAGGGGGACTCCAAGGAAGGCACCCACCCACTGACTCCCGTGTCTCTCTGGGCCCACCATCCCCTCGGCTCTGTGATGCTGACATGTCCACAAGCTAAGCGAGGTGAGGCCTGCCGCAGACTGGCCCTCCCAGCTCCCTCCTGGGCGCGGGTGGGGCTGCCGAGCCAGCGGGAGCAGCCTCTGGTGCATCGGGAAGGGCTGAAAAACAAGCGCACCAGAATCCAAATCAGGAAAGCCCAGAGCTGGGGTTGCCATGGCAACTTGCAGCAGGCTCCTGGCCTGGCACTCAGCCTCCCTGGGGGGCTGGGACGGCTGGGGGCTGAGACCGCCAGGCCTGCTGCCCCGCCTAGAGGCTGCCTCTCCCGCCTCCTAAACATGGGCAGGAAGGGCAGGCCCAGCTCACCCCGCTCCCCAGTGAGGCCCACAGCCAGCGTCCTCGGAGTCCACCCAGACCCCACAGCACCCAGCCGCACACCAGTGGGGAGCTGCTCTTGGCTTGATCAGTGCCCGTGGCCTTGAAGGGGCTTCTCCTGCATGGCAGAGGGGGCAGTGAGGCGAACCTCCGACCTCTGCTCACAGCTGGGTGGGAAGGGACAGGCGTGAGGGTCGCGCTGCCAGAGTACTTTCTGCAGCTCTCCCTCATTTCAGTGCTGTCTCTTCAGCAGAGGAAGAACAGGCCCAGAGAGGTCGAGTGACTTCCCAAGGTCACAGAGCTACCACATGGCAAAGAGCCTGAGGTTCCACGGACAGGGCCCAGGCCCTTCTGACAGACAGCTGGGACAGACCACTCAGGGAGTCACGGGGTACCTATCACAGCCCCCAGCTGTAGGGCTGAGTCGCGGTACACAGACATGGAGACAGACTGCGGCCTTCACATCTTGTTTAATAGCCAAGCGGGCCCTGCCCAGGTGAAGCTCACACCCCACAAGGCAAACCTTCCCTGCTGCCTGACGGCCTCTGAGGAGCCCACCCGCGCTGGGGCCCGGCCTCTCGCATGTCCTAGTCCAGTCCCGGTGTCAGGGTGGCAGCCTCACCGCAGCTCCCTGAGTAAGCTGTTGATGGAGCCCAGCAGCTCCCGGAAGTAGCCCTCATCTTCGCCTTCTTGGACCTCCAGGGTGGCCAGGGCCTGATACTCAGCCCGCAGGCTGCCCAGTGTCCTGCTGAGCTGGGGGTCCCGACGGTAGTGGTCCCTGCAGGTGGCCAGGAGGGCACTCAGCGTTTGCAGCACCTTCTCACGGGCATCGTGTTCAGGAAGTGCCAGGAGGCGGGCTGTGATCTCACACCAGCCCTGCTCCCGCAGGCCTGGCAGGAGGTGCACCTGGCGGTACTGCTGCAGCTTCTCTGGGGACACATCCTGGGTCAGCTCGGCCTCTTCCTCAGCAAACATCTGCTGCCACACAGCCAGGCACAGGCGGCAGGTGGGATGGCAAGGAGAGAACACAGAGGCAGTCAGTTCACACCTGCGAGCTCTGCCCCGCAGTACCAAGACAGGAGGCTGAGCCAGGAGGGTGACCTGCTTTCTCCGTGACCCAGCCATCCACATGTCCACTCTTCGGTCCGTCCACTCCACACTGTCCATCACAACACCTGTGCCCTGCGCCAGGTGCTAGAGGAACCAAGACGGTTATGTGTCCCTGCTCCCAGGCTCTCACAGGAAAATAAAATCCCTGACTATCTCAAGAGCTGGGTCTAGTGGTGCAGTGTGAGGGTGGCGGCTGGGCTCGACTTCCTGGGCATCACTGACAACTCAGTGAGCGGGCGCTGGTCCGGAACCTCCCTGCGACCAAGGCCACTGTCTCTCAGGGGAGACACTGGGGCCCCTCTGGGACTCGGGCAGCACTCGGAGGACAGTGAGTGCACAGCCAGTAGCCGGACACAGTGCACACTCAAGAGATGTGAGCTTTCGCACCATGGCAGCAAATGACATCTTCACCAGTGTCACTGCTGTGGGCACCCTCACCCCACTGCTGCACCAGTGAGAGTCTTGGGTGAATAGGAGCGGCCCCAAGGGATAGCACGGCAGGCCAGTCTGCACGGGCGTCACAACCAGCCCTGGCCCCCGTCTGAAGCAAGGCAGGTGGTGCAAGGGCCAGGAGGGGCCTGGAACACAGCTCTGGGCTACGCCAAGGACAGAGGCGTTACGGAAAGTCTGGCAGTGAGTCGAGCCTCAGCCCATGAAAGCAGCTGTAGACGCTCAGCTCTACCTGCGAACCTGCGGGAACCAGCCGGGCAAGCTGCCAGGCGAGAACCCCGCTTATTTCAAATGCTGAGGGATGCTGCGAAGGTTTCCCATACAGTCACATTAAATGCTCTGAGAAGGGAGCAGGAAGCCCCGCCCAGACCCCCTGGGGAGAACCGGGGGTGCAGGCAAAGGCCAGGGGCTATGAATGGCACCTGACGACACTGTGGCCACAGAGGGCCATGGGCTAATGGCAGGGCAAGGCTGCCATCCCTTTCCACCGACTTCTACATCCCACCAGTCCCCCTCTTGGTCCTCCCCGCTGCCTCTGCTCTGTGCACCCTGCTTCTTGGGGGATGTCTGTGGCCCCTCCTCCAGGCCCTGCCCACCTTCTCTGGTCCCCTGATGGCTGCCAACAAGCCCCTAATCACTGGCTGGGATCTGTCTGTTTTTTTGGCATGGTACAGAGAATTGAACTCAGGGTCTTTGCACTGAGCTATATCCCCAGCCATTGTTCTTATTTTTTATTTTGAGAGACAATCTCCTTAAATGGCTAAGTTGTCTAGGCTGGGCTTGAACTTGGGATCTTCCTGCCTCAGCTTCCTAGAGTGCTGGGATTATAGGTGTGTGCCACCACACCTGGCTACAAATTGGCAGTTCTGCTGATAAAGACCAAACCCTTCCTTGGGACTCTGAGCCCTCCCTGGGCATGGCTTTGCTGCCCCACAGCCTCCTCACTCTGACCCCGGCCGTTCCACCTTTCCCCTGGGGCCTCTGGAGCTGTGTCCCTTCCAGGTACTTCCCACAGGACAGCTTCAATGCCCCTCTTCCCTCCAGAGCCCAGCACCCTGTGCCCACATATCCTGCCCACAGCTCCTGGGCTTCCAGCGCCGGGAGGGCAGGGGCTATGGAGGGAGAGCTTTCCAGCATCCTGCCACCCCTGGGAGCCAGATGGCAGCATGCGGTCTCTTGGTAGAGGCCCAGGGTGGGCCACGACACAGAGGGGGGCGCGCCTGGGTCCTGGCCGATGCCAGAGGCGACAGCGCAGTCTCTGTGGGAATTCCTCGCTGCAGATGCTGTCTCCCAACCTTTTGCCTTGGGGCACAGAGCAGCCCCAAGGTGAGCTGATGCTCTGTCACCCTTGGGGGCCTTGGGACCAGCCTGAAACTCAGCCTGCTCTTTTTGTCTCCGCTCAGGAGCTGTAAGAACAGAGAGGCCCCAGCTGCCTTGGTGCTCAGTGTGTGGGCAGCCCCAGCCCCACAGCTGTCTGGCTGAAACTATGCACTGTCCTCTCTGGAAGAGGATGGCCAGGTCCTTCCTCCTTGACCGGACCCGACTCAGCAGAGACACAGCCCTGAGACACCAGAGGAAAGAGATGGGTTTCTCCTGGGAACGCGGATGCGTGGGTCCTCCTCCAGGCTCACTGGCCACGCTCAGGAGATCGGCTGCGCCCCAGCCTTGCTAATTGGCTCTGAGTACCACAGGGCTGCCTGCTGTTTGAAATGATTTCTGCAGCTGTGGGCAGGAGCAGCACGAAAGCTGAGACTGCAGCAGGAGACAGGACTGACAGAAACGAGGGGCCATAGGCAGCCGAGACTCCGCCTGGACAGAGCGGGCGTGGGTCTGTGCAGGGTGAGAGTGTGGAGGGGTGCAGCCCCCAACGTTAGGCGGCAGGGCCGGGGCTGCCAAGCAGCGGCCGGCTGTCCCGGGAAACAAGGGGCCCGAGGAAGACAACTGTAAAAGCCCTGCCAACAGGCTCTGCAGCGGCTCCATTACAAATCCAGGCCTGGCTGCCTCTTGCTCTTAATTAAGATGCTTCTCAAGCTTTCAAGGCCAAGCGGGGCTGAGCCCTAGTCTCTTCCCAGGTAGCAAAGCCGTTGGGTCCTGAGGCTGTCCAGGGCTGTGTGCTGAGCCCTGAGCCGAGCTCCCAGAGGGGCATCTCCAGGTGCCGAGAACAGCAAGTCAGCACCATTCTGGGCTCTGGCTTCTGATTGCTGCCATGTCTCCACGCGACCTGTTCCTCACGCCCACCCAGTGACTTTCACTCCCTGAGGGCCAAACCCAGCTGTTGGCCCTTGGCCACGCTGACCCCTCCCTGCATGCCTGGCCCTGGCCAATGCATCCTCCTACCTCCCCTCTCCAGGGGTTGGCAGAGGTGTCGTGTCCCACAAGACACCTTCCCTTGAGGTTCCAAGTTTCTTCAGGCCATCAGCCATCCATCCATCTGTCCACCCATCCATCTGTCCACCCATCCATCTGGACAGAGAGATGGACAGACAGATTCAGAGGGGGCCTGGGTGGAACAGCCAGAGCAAACACAAAGCCTGTGTTTGGGGTGGGGAGGCAAGGGGGTCTGGGCATTCACCTTCTCAGTGACCAGGTCATAGAGTAGCGTGACCACGCGCACAGCCAGCACCTCTGTGCTCTTCTCTTGCACCAGGCCCTTGAGCACCTGCAGGCCCCCCAGCTTCAGGAACTGCTGCTGGGCATAGGGGAAGTGGCGCAGCAGGGTACACAGGGCGAACAAGACCTAGAAAGGAAGCACAGGTCCGGGACACATAAGGAGTGACACACATTAGCCTGGCCCCACGGCCCGTAAAAGGTGTCCCAGTGACTCAGCCAGCACCATTCTTCCTGGTCTCAGTAACCTGGAGTCCAGCTGCACCCCAGGAGCCAGGGCTGTGAGAGTCAAGAGAGACTTCAGCTACCTTCAACATCGTCATGGGGACCACTGGTGGCTAAAACGAAAGTCCAGGACCGGATGGGGTCCATGGCCGCCCTGCTGGAGCTACACCCAGGCCCCCAGGCCCCCGACGCCATCTGCCACCATCTTCTACAGGTGTGTGTGACCTTTTCCCTCGCCCCTCACTGGATGACTCTCGGGGCCCAGGGATGGCATGCCAGGAAAGGGGCCCGCCGATGCCCTAAGCGCTGGGCAGAAGGGACGGGCAGAAACTTACCTTTTTCTTAGCAGTGAGGGGCTGCTCTGTGGCCAGAACGACCAGCAGCTTCTGTAGGGCTCCTCCTTCAATGGCCTCCACCTGGACCTTCGGGTTGCTGGGAAGGAAGCACAGGAAAGCATGACTATTCTGCCTGCCTAGGAGCCCAGGGGCACAGGGAGCTGACACCACACCAGCCAGGAGCACAAGGAGCAGCTCCCACCTAGGACAAGCTAGAACTCCGCTGGGAGACAAAGACTGGTGGGGACGGACGATCTACAGCATGGATGACAGAGCTGAGGCCCCTGCACCACCCTACGGCGCCCCAGAAGCCAGGAGCCAGCGGGTGCTGTGAGTCATCCCAGCGCCGGGGCAGCCTTCGGAGGTGCTGCTGCAGCGTCCCTGCCGCAGGCAGACTTCCTTGCTGCTCGCAAGCCTGTGCTGGGTGGCCCTTCTTCCACGGTCCCAGGAACATCACATATGGGGGCGGGGGGCGGGGCGACTAACAGATAGGTCTGTTCTTTTTGGGTATGGGGTTTCTTGAGGCCAGGCCCAGGGTCCCCTTCTCTCCTTGGTCAGCATCAGACAGTTGTAGAACACACGTGTGGGAGGAAGGCAGGTGGGCAGCATGAGACGCAGGGAGCTTCTGAACACAAAGGCAGGGCCTTACACGGGACCAAACACCGCCTGCACTCCAGGCCCTACAGCCCAGCTGCCATGACCTTTCCTGTCCCCGCATTCTCAGTGCTCAGCACAGAGCCTGCCACTTCACAGGGCCCTGCACATAGGGGGTGAATGTACAAACACGTGTCCAACCAAGAACACCCAGCAAGCAAGAAGGCCACACAAAACACTCAAAACCCAGCGCTGCCTCAGGACCTCCTTTATCACGCCGGGCCGAAGGAACAGCAATGCCATTAAAACAAACATTTCAGGCCCAGTCCTCCTGGTGAAAGGAAGGTGGCCCTTCACTAGGCAGGGTGTGGGGCAGCCAACATGGCTGGGATTCCCAGCAAGTTACCTTTTTGCTGGTACCTTGCTTTCTAAGGTCACATAAATGATCAGCTAAGGAGCACATGCCTTAGCTTGGCATGGTGGTGTACACCTGGAATCCCAGCACTTAGGAAGGAGGCTGAGGCAGGAGGGTTGCCATAAATTTGAAGCCAGCCTGGGCTTACACGTGAGTTCAAGGCCAGCCTGAACTACATAGCAAGATCCTGTCTCAAAAAACAAAACAGCAAAAAAAGAGCATGTGCCCAGAAGAGACCTGTATGCTAGGCCCTCAGGGAAGGTCAAGGCTCTCCAACTCAGCATTCTACTGATGAGGCCCCAAAGAGGACAGGGAACAGGCATACAAAAAGCTTGAGGTCAGTAGGATGTGCAGGGCCAAGACAGGGGTCAGTGACTGTCACATCCCCCCAGACAGCCCCCAGAAGGTACCAAGGTTTACCAATGTGTGTGTAACTCGCCAGCTGCCCACTTTTGCAGGGTCACACGTTGCACCCCACAGCACCTGCTCCTCTTAACCCCACCCCTCCTAAGCAGGGGGCCCTTGAAGGATCCCAATGCCATGCTTCCTGGCCAAAAGTTCAGCAAAAAGGGGAGGTAGGCAACAGGAGTGACAGCTTGGCATGAAGCAGGTGCTCCCAAAGCAGCCAAATGGAACAACGGGTGCCTGAGTCACTCCCAGAAGACGCCATGCCCTGCTGTTCCCACCAGGAATCAGCCTCAAGGCTCAAAACAGACTGGCACGCAGCACCAAGTTTTCCTGCTATAAACAGAAGGATCATCTCCCTGTACCCTCAGACCCTCTCACCAGAGAGGGGAGCTGTCTGTCGGCGGCAACTCCACCCATGTGCCCGGGAGCAGCCTGGGGGTAGGCTGGAGCCCTGGGATAGGGAGGCCGACAGCTCCTCTTGGTGGGCAGGAGACCTGACACTGGGGCTTGAGAGCTGGGCCTCTCTCCTGCTGCCTGTCCCCGCCTCCTGAGAAAGGCAGCTGCTTCACCAACACACGATTAGCACCAACACGTTAATTAGCACGATCTCTGCCATCGTGTGCCTGAGGATGCTCACCCACAACAGGCAGGTCTGGGAAAGAAGAAGACCGTGCTGTGAAATTCACACAAACATCAAATGCTGCCACCCAAAGCAGGAGGGCTGTGAGGCCTGACAGCACATCAGCCTCGGGGAGTACCTCTTCGAGCCCTGTCCTGGGTCCACGGTCCTGCGGAGCAATGAAGACAAGGCCCCTTCAAGACCACACAGGAAGCCCTTCATGGTACCATCTGAGTGACTGAGCGAATCACCCAGGGCTGGGCAGCCAGAGCCCGTCCATTTTATATGCTGTCACCAGCACAGAGAGAAGTTCTCCTCTTCAAATGGTGGCTGGCAAGAAGCAGGAGCTGCCTGCTGCCACGCCAAGAGCAGCCCACCCTCCCTCGGGCTGATGCCCACCCCTCCCCAGGGAGGGCCGCCGGCCAGAGTAGGAGAGAATGGATTTTAAACACTGGGGGTATAAGCCACAGAGAAAAAAGGGAGCTTGGGGACCCCTTAAAAGATGCCAAAATCACTTTCATAGGTAATAAACCCACAGTTTTATCTGCAGCAGAGCCCAGAAGACCCTGGTGGGTACGGCAGGACAGTGTGCTGAGCATGCACCTTGTCGGCCTGGGCTGCACCCTGCCTGGCCTCTCACCAAAGCAGCTTAAACAAGGTGCTGCACTAACACCGGCCCCTACCCCAGTGCTCTCACGGCCACACGGGTCCCACAGACACCCTTCAGGAAGAGCCTTTCAGTGCCACTGTCGAGGGTGAGAAGGCCCAGGCCTGAGTCTCCAGAGGGCTGTCAGCCATCCTGATGGGGTGGCAGGACTGCGAGTGTGTTGCGCAGGAACGCACAAAGCAGACAGCACCCTGCTCCCTCCACACAGCCTCTCTCCCAAGGCCACTTAGCCTCTGGTTCTCAGGGTCCTGCTGTGCACTTTAGGGGAGAGGCCCAAAATAGCTGAGTGAGGTCTCAGGATGAGTAGGGCCAGACCCTGGGGGCCCTCTGTGGAAATCCTGCAAAAGCGGCTGATGACCTTTGTGCAAGTCCCTTGATGTGATTTTCCCACCTGGGAGGCAGAGCTAAGACTAGTGTTAAAGATACATTAACTCACAAACGCCAAAATGCTAGCCAGTGTGCTGTGGTCAAAAGACTGTGATTACACAGGCCACGCCAAGAGGCCCATCCGTAGCCCTGGGACACAGCTCTGTTCCGCCTGGAGATCGAGGGCCTGTCCGCACAACCCACAACGCACAGTCCTCACTGGGGAGGGGCCGCTCCCAGCAGGGGGAAGGTGGGTATCCTGACAGTTGGGGATTTCAGTGAGTTGAAAAGCCCGAGGCCCAGCTTGCTTCTCAGCGACACCAGTGGTGCTGGTATATTCAAAGTCAACAGAAGGATATTAAGGACGTAGCTTGTCTCCGAGCGATAAATGAGAATAAACCTTGTTCAGGGCTAAGCTGGCTGGACTGAATAAATACCATTAGCATTTGGATTACTGGGATGTTCACAATCAGCAGGCAAGTCAGCTGTCTGTGTGCAGAGGGACGGCAGCAGCTGCTACTCTGTAACTCGAGGGGGTGATCGCAGAAATGGAAATGATTGCATTTGCAGAAGCTGCACAGTCTGGGTCAGGGTGACAGCAATATGGCTAACTGCCAAGGGTCAGAGGTCATGTTCTAGCAAACTAGAGCTGAGCAAGTTTGTGGCTAAGATCGAGGGTGCAGGCGCTGAGCTCAGGAGAGCAGCTAGCTGGAGCAGGGGCCCACAGGGTTGCTGCCTAGTACAGACCGAGGGCCTGCCCTCCTCCACGCCTGGCACTCAGGACTGGCGGCATAATTTTCAGGCCTCCACATAACATGAAAAGCAAGGTCCTCGGCTTAAAGATTATTAGGAACTTCAAGGACGGCAAGTGTAAGGCATTGTTACAGTTTATGTCTAGGGACCCCCAAAGCCGCATGCACTCAGAGACGGGGCTGTGGGGAGGTGACCGACTACGGGGCGGTGACACCATCGAGGGGTTAGTCTGCCGGTGAGTTCACAGCTCATGCGATGTTGGGAGGAGAAGCCAGTCAGAGGAGTTGGGTCGCTAGGGTTGAAGGCTCTGTCTCCCCTCCTCCTCCTCCCTCCATCTCTCTCTCTGCTTCCTGCCTAGCCACGATCAGCCAGGCCACCAGGCCTCGCAGCCGAACAGCTACGGACTAAAACCTCTTCAAAGCGTAAGCCAGAACAAGCTCTTCTCCTTAACCTGTGGGTGCTGAGGATTTTGTCCCAGCAACGAGATAGTGGCTAAGACAAAGATTAAACAAGTCTGGGCCCTTCTAAGTGCAGAACCCTGCGTCACTGCTCACAACACAGGCCACCAGGGTGTACGCACAGGCTTTGGTATACACAGACACCTGCATGGGGGGAACTGGACCGGGAAGAAGAGTTGTGGAGCAGCGAGGAAGGAGGAAAAGTAGAAAAGGCAGAGCCAGGGGCAGGAAACGAGGCTGTGGCTGACAGGTCAGGTAAATGGTGAAGCCGAGCCTTCCTGGGCCAGACTGAGTGGGGAGCTGTCTCCTGAGGCCTCCCCACATCATTCTCTTAACAGAGGAAAAGCCAGCACAGTTCTGAAACGCTGGAGGGCAGGCCATGCAGGGAGCAGGGGCACATCTCTGGGGTGCCAGGCGAACCCCACACGGTCCTGCCTGGTGAAATGTGCAGGCTCCCTTCTTGTCCGGAAAGAGCCTTTCTCTAGTGGCCCCACGTTGTCTGTATCCAACACATGGCCTTGATCATCTGTGGCCCACAGATCTGTAGCATGTGTAATATAAATATTTTGTAGGGAGGCACTCTGAGAACAGGGGTTCCGGAAGGATCCAGGATGAATGGGTGAAGTAATAGACAATCATCAACTTGAGTAAAATGGAATAGGTCCACCCCAAAATAAACAGGGCATCTAACTCTTCTACATGAGAGCGAAGTCCCAAGTGAAAGAAAACATCAAGCTTGTATCTGAGCTACACACTACCCGAGTGCGGCGGGAAGCAACCGGGCCCCTGGGGATTTCACGCGGACCTGGGGAGAGGC